TTTTCAAAAAGAAATAATTTTCAAAAAATCCTACCAATATATTGGAAGATAATTTTGACAAAAAGTCTGACCAATATATTGGAATATATTTTTGAAAATGAATTATTTTTAAAATTAGATTTCAAATATCTAAGGATGGAATTACTAAAAACGTTGCAAAAAATAATTTTTATATAAATTTTTAGGTGAAGAATCTTTTTTAAATTTTACCAATATATTAGAAAATGTTTTAAAAAATTTGATATCAAGATTCTAAATCTCATTTAATGGTGAATAAGAGTTTTTTTTTTTTAATTAAATGAATCAGACAATGAAGCCTCTTCAAAATGTAACAAATAATTTCCTTAAATACTTCTAAGGTAAGAATATATTTATAAATTATTATCAACATGTTTGAGTAATTTAAAGATAATTTTCAATAACTAATTACTTAGTAAAATTTGACTTTTGGATAACGTAAAATCAATTGATACCATTATTTGGATGAGCGTTATGAGAGTACTATAACATTTTTTACTCATAACTGTACTTTAGACATAGTCATGATTTTATAGATTAAAATTTACATTTTAAAAATACTTAATCAAATTTAAGACTACTCTTTAAAATGAAATAGATTCAATTAGATAATTAATTGCACTTAAATAAAAATAGATTAATGACGACATTTTAAATCTAATGTCTAATGATAAATTTTCAAACTTATAAATTCTATTAAAATGCACATTTTTATATAATAATATATTTCTTAATTCTCTAATCGCTTTCCTCATTGTCACCATCCAATATCTAATGACAGCTTATAGTCAGTCAACACCAACACTCAATAAATACCTAGTACAATAAATCAATATCTCTATGAAAAAATTATGGATTCGTATTAACAAAATGTAAATTTTTAATAAAAAAATATTGAAATAAACTCAATAATATATATATATATATATTTTACATTGTTTGCTATTCTTTTCATTAATCTACCATTCTATCAATATACATAATATTTTAATCTAACTAAATCATTTCATCAAATAAAAATATAAATTATGTTATAAATTGATTATATTGGTAATGTAATATGTTATTAACAATTTTTTTTTATCTTTTCTCGATAGAATTATGAATTCAGGTGGATTATACTTTATATTGACTTTTTATTTCTTTTGAAAGATGTTATAAGTGGTATGTTATTTCATTAACATTTTTACCCCTAATTTTATCATATTAGATTCATAACTTTTAGATGAAAACATTATAACCTAAAATTATGGTTGTTTATGGAAACGAATAATATTAATTTTTAGTTTTTACGATATCACAATTGGCAAGTTATTTACCCAGTACAATCTGTACTAAAATAAATTTTGATTTAATTTAATTCAAAAAAATACTTAAAAAGTATTTAAAAATTATCTTATACCACATCATATATATATATATATATTATATTACAATATATATAGTTACCAGATACTAATTGCTGATGTGGATGTTTACGTGGACAGTTTCTTTTTTCGACACGTAAGATAATTCGTAAAACTTCTTATTATGATGACACATAAGATATTTATTAATTTTAAATTATTTATAAAAAATATATTTTAAAAATTATTAAATTATGTAAAATTTTAAAATTTAATTCAAAATCAATTTAAATTCTAATGAAATTCTTTTGTTATGTACATTACTTTATCTTAATTTAAAACCAATTTTAAAGTAATTTATATTTTCTAATTTATCTACAGTTAACATGAGTATTTAAATTTATCACAACTTTTAAAAATATTATTTCATATCTTTAACATTTTTTACAAATACTTATAACATTATCTTCAACTTTTAAATCTATTTTATAAAAAAATGTAAAAAAAAAAAAATAAACAAATACAAGTCTTAACACAGTCATATAAATGCTGATAGAAGAAATGAAGACTAGAGATTACTTTCTATGTTACAAATTAGGAACTATTTTTCTAACACTTAGTGGACTAGTTCAACTTAGTGAAAAGGCAAATACATAATTTTCAAAATTAAAAAAAAAAAAATAAAGCCAGATATATCAATGACATTCCATACTTACAACATCTTTTAAGCCTTTCATGTGCAACTAGACATAATTGATATATAATTTATACACTTTTTAGTCATACAATTCTAAGAATATTTTATGGTATAAATCTATGATATGTTTGAGAAATTAGTTATCAGGAATCCATTTATATTCTAAACTTTATCATACCTTTACAATAAAAATGTTAGCAGTAGAGATTTTTTAAGATATCAGTTGTGGATAGAGTTAAGATATAAAACATAAAAAAATACTATCAGATAAAAGTATAAAATACTAAAATTTAAATATTATTATCTGATTAGATATTATCTATAAATAAATTTATTATTTAAATATATTTATGGATTAAAATTTATCAAGATTTAAATAAAAAATTAATTTAAATATAAGATAATTAAATAAATAAAATTATTATTTAAATATATTTATGGATTAAATAAAATTAAATAACTTAATTCTCTACTGTCTTTCGATTCAACTTATTTTCCATACAATATTTCATTGCTCTTTTACTGCATTTTCATTTAAGGTAGATTTATTTTTCTTTTCTATTTTCTAGAGGTAAGCTCCCTTAGTTTAATTTTGACATTTTTTTATATATTACAATATACAAAATTATAAAAATACATGTATTTTTATTTTTTATTGGTGTTATCTACAAACTTTTTATTTTTTTATGAATTCTTCACTTAATCAGTTAATATATTTTGTCTTTTTAACTTATTCAATTTTACCCCAACAAGATCAACACGAAGATTCAACCACCCCGTCTCCTCTCCATAACAAACGTCAAATATTGCAATATCCCAAACCAATCACTCAGCATGACAAAACCAATCAAGCCCATGAGCCTTTGTCAGAGCTGGTACTATTTTCGAAGTTGTTGGTCAAGAACATATTCTGGGTAATATTTCTCTTCTCCGTTCTGCTGTTGACCGTAAAAGAATTCCTTCTATTATTTTTTGGGGTCCTCCTAGTGGTGGTAAGATTTCCATTGCTAAATCCATTGTTAATTCTGCTCAACAATGGTCTTTTATCGATTTGTTTCTTTGTCTGCTGTTACTTGTGGGTTTGAGGATGTTAGAGATTCTGTTGAGGAAGCTAGGAAAATGAGAGTTAAGAATAATTAGAGGACTTTACTTTTTGTTGATGAAGTTCATAGGTTTTAATAAATCACAACAGGATTCTTTCTTGCCTGTGATTGAAGATGGAAAGTGTTGTGTTTATGGGGGCCACTACTGAGAATCCTTCGTTTCATTTGATTTACACCGTTGTTGTATAGGTGTAGGGTTCTTACATTGAATCCTTTGAAACCTCGTCATGTGGTAACTCTTTTGAAAAGAGCTGTTAAGTAATTTCAAGAGATAAGGATTGTCACAGAGGCGTAGGGATGAGGGTTGATGTTAAGGATGATGCTATTGAATTTTGTCTATGAATTTTGATGGTGATGCTCGTGTGGCATTGAATGCTTTGGAAATTTCTGCCCACAACAGCAGCTGCCCGAGTGGCTGGTAATCCACAAAAAGGTGTAGGAGTAGAGCCAGATAGGAATTTTGATTTGGTGGCAAGTGATGAAACTGAGATTGGTTCATTTGAACCAGTTGTTACGGTGGATGATGCTAAGGAGACACTCCAATGCAAGCATATTGCATAAGAAAAAGCAGGGGAAAAGCATTACAATTTTGTCAGTGCGCTCCGCAAGTCAATGAGTGGAAGTGATGCAGATGCTGCGATTTATTGGTTTGCAAGAATGCTGGAAGGATGTGAGGAGCCCCTTTACATTGCACGCAGACTAATAAGGTTTGCAAGTGAGGATGTCGGGCTGGCTGATCCATTAGCCCTAAATCAGGTCAGGCTGTTTCCTGTTATCAAGGTTGTCATTTATTGGGCATGCCCCAGTGTAACGTGATTCTTGCGCAATGTGTTGCTGACTTGGCTCTGGCTCCTAGATCCATTTCTGTGTATCGAGCAATTGAAGCTGCACAGAAGGTTGTTTGGGAATCTGGAGGACAGAATGAGGGAGTGCCACTTCATTTAAGGAATGCACCAACCAAGCTAATGAAGGAACTTGGATATGGAAGGGATTATATATATCCTCCAGATAATCAATTTTCATCAAGTCAATCATACCTTCCTCCTTCTCTCCTAGGAGACAAGTTCCTTGACTGGCCGAGTGGAAATTCAACAAATCAGTAAGAGTCATGTCATCATTTTTGGGGAGTCCTTGAGGAGAAAATTTCCTTGATGACCAAAATGTAAATTCCTCCACCAGTTTTTTTGGAATCGTAACAGTAACCTTTACAGGTTAGTTACTCATCAAAGTTTTTGTGGATATGCCTTTTCTATAGGTAATTTACTATAGGTATCAGAAGCAATTTACTACTATGTCTCTGTTATTGAAATTGGTCAAAATTATGATACTCTTACTACATGATGTTGGACAGTTTGATAGACTCAAGTTATGCAATGAAAGTGGTACAATTCCTTGGAAGTTGTCAACGGAGAAGGGGAGGGAACCGGGATTTCTTTCAATATATTGTGAAAAATCTTTGCCAAGTAATTTTGCCTTATTGTTGCATTGTGGTGCCAGCCCAAACTAACAGATTGACATGGAAACATCTGGAAATGTCTGCTTCAGATGATTGGCAATTCCAATATTGAAAATTGACGAGTGAAATTGCGCTGAAGCAGCAAGTAAGACAGCATTGGGCTGCTAAAAGCAATTGGAAAACAAACAACGTTTTACCAGCCTTCTACCATGACTTTTTTTTTTTTTTAAATGATATTTTGACAGATAAAAGGCAAGTTCCCAAGACATCAAATGATAATAAAAAAGGAGTAAAAAAAAAAAATGCTGCTCGTAGTTGCAGGGGAACAATTTTCTTCAACAGAATGCGCGTGAATAGAACTCCATAGTAACTTAAACACAGAGATCTTAACAGATTCATAATATTATTAGAAATGTTGGCCTCTAAACAATGTGTATTACAGGAATAATTATAGAACCACTTTCACATGATTTACAGCTAGAGTCCCCTATCACCTTAATACGATCAAACCACAAATCTAACTTACAACTTCTGCCGCAGGAAAACACTCCATAGAAAAAAAAAATCTGAAAAATATGGGAACCAGTGGGAAATTTCCAAACGATGCAAAGAAACTAAACCAGTAAGTATGAGATCCATCCCTCAGGGTTGATGCTAAGGATCAGATCCATTCCTTCGGATTGATGCAAGCATCTAATAATTTCCACTCTTCAGTTCCCTCTTCTGGTTTCTGTAAGAAAAAGGCCTCTCATTATCAGTTACAGTTACAGCTTTTTGATAACATATCTCAGTGAACATTTATACAGAATGAGTAAAACATTTTTACTCGGGGAAAAAGGGAAATAGGGCAAGAAAGCTTACATGATCATATTCCCATCGTGCAGATAAAGGGAGAGAAACAAGAATACTTTCAATTCGACCTCCTGTCTTCAGTCCAAATGTTGTACCTCGATCATAGACCTTTCATTAACAAATCAAATATAATTTAAAGGTCTGATTTAGGCTTGAGAGAAATCTAAGATGTAAAACATCTCTAGTTTCATTATAGCTCGATTCAATACCAAGTTGAATTCTACATAGCGGCCCCTTCGCAACTGTTGCCATGCCTTGTTGCTTTCATTGAATGGTGTATCCTTCCTTTTCTCTACAATGGGTATGTATGCAGGAACCACTGAATTTGCACACTCTGCAATCAATAGGGAATTGATACATTAGAAAAACTGAACCCGAAATGCTATTTGTAGGTTGGAAACACCAAAAGATTAATAGCAATCTTGAGGAATTACCAGTTGCAAATGAAAGAAGCATCTCTTGATCATAGTCATTTAGATCATCAAAAAATATTCCCCCAAGCCCTCGTCTCTCACCTCGATGCTGCACAGAGCATTAAAAGTAAACATAAAATTTAACAATTTAATCCATAAGTAAATGAAGAAAAAGTAAAATTATGAGAACAGTCAACAAGAGAAAATGATGATTTATAAATAAAGCTTTTAGAACATATATGATCACCTCGTAGGCTACTAATGTTACTAAAAACTACCAAGTTTCAACCCTGAATAACACCCCCTCTATCTTATTTTAGATGACTGTTTCAAAGGATGTGCACTTTCAGAAAGAGATATATCTGACTCCATATCCTTTTACATTGAATTTCAAAATATTATATAACACTAAATTTTACTGGTCTTTTTTGTTGTTATTATTAGACAAAAATATGAAAAATAAACAAATCTTGAATTCTTAAAATAATAAGTTTAATGGTCTTTTACTGTCACTGAAAAATAAAAAAATCAAAAATAAAGAAATCAAAATCCTTAAATCACAGTAAACAATAGTAATTGTCAGATATCTAAAATAGGAAAATATCATCTGTAGTGGGACAGAAAAAGAATTCAAAAACATCATCTCAGTAAACATAAATTAACGTCAATCAAAATAAAATCAAGGCAAAATGTTTTAGTAAATCTTTTGAACAAATCCTGGAACATAAATTGTTGAGTTCAAACCTGGCAAGCACAACATTTTGGTATTATGCATGCATTTATAAGTTATAACTGCACTTTACTACTATTTACAAATTGCTAAAAGTAGGGCAGGCAAAATATAAATACTATTGATTTTTTAACAAATTCATAACATTATTAGCAACTGTTGGCCTCTAAACAATATGTGTATTACAGGAATAATTATCGAACCAAATTCACATGATTTACAACGAGAGTCCCCTACCACCTTAATATGACAACCACGAAGCTAACTTACAACTTCTGTTGCATGATAACACTCCCTTAAAAGAAGAAGAGAATACAAGGATAAAGAATAGGAAAAAACCTATTATGTCAATGAATAAGTTAGTACAAGCAGGCCAAAGGTGAATTTGTAAGCTGAATTGAGAGGTAATTCAAGTCTGTTAGAAGAACACACAAACTATACATCTATACCATTATTATATGGGTAGATGAGTACCCTAGAGTGCCACAAACCAGAATTCTCAATCGCTATTATATTTTGTTGTAGTCCATTAGTAAGGGTTTGTGGACAAAACCTAATATGCATCTATCATCCTGCAAAATGCTGACCTATAACCATCAATGTTGTCAAAAGGCAGAAGAATCACTCTAGTCCCTTACATTGCCTGAGGCACAAGGCACAAACGAAGCACTCACCCCAGTAAAGTAAGGCTCTAATTTATAAAAAGGTATTTACATATATAAGAAAAATCTATTTATTATATTTAATAAGTGTAAAATATATTATTTATAAATAAATTCCAGAGTTTGCTTCATTACATTACCTAACTTGTTCCAATAATATGCATCTCATAACTATCCTCCATTTCCATTTTCAACCAAACCTTGTGCATGAACTATAACCGCTATCATTCTTGTCAAGATAGGATGTATTAAATGTATACATAATAAAATAAAACAAACTAAAGAACCCAATGAGACATTTAAGTCAACCAAGCTTGTAATGCACCATTCACCATAAAAAAAGTGTGCCTAGGTGCAAAAGGTGCGTCCCTAACCATGAATGCAAGGTGGCTTTTGTTCATTTGCACAGCACCTTAGCACTGAGGTGCATACCTTGATAATAGTGCTAACTATTACACCGTTGAAGACCCCAAAACTCTTAATACTTTGCTTCCAACCCCAAATGTGCTTAAGTAATATCATAATAGAGCTAAAAAAAAATAGTGATCACAACATCAATGCATTAACCGGCAAAGCCTCTTTTTTGTTAATTTAATGCTATACACATAAATTCTAAAACTCAGGGAAATAAATAAGAAACACATATAACATCCAAAACATAGGCAAGATCATACCTTAATGTAGAAATAGTCATCACACCATTTTTTGAATCGAGGATAAAAGGATGGATCAAATTTGTCACAGGCGCTTTTTTGCATCTATAAAAGAAGGCCAATGCCGGCAACAGAACATTCAGCAAAAGATTTCATTTTTCAAATAATATTTCACAAGATAGAATCAATGTTCTGCACATATACACACATACATAGACACTATGTCATACACACACATACATACACACTTTGTCATACTCACACATACATACACAATATGTAATAGAATTTTGCAATTATCTTTAAGGCAGACATGTGCAATGCACTGGCAATAGAAACACTAGTCTCCAATTTATCTACCAATCAATACTAATATGTAAAAGGAACAGAGGTTACTGCTCTTAAAGGAGTTCATCCATGTGCTTTCCAGTAAATCATTATATAATATTTAGTAAGACGTCGAAATAAGAAGGTTATGCTCATATACTCAAATTTCTTAAAATTTCTTTTGATAAGATCAATATTTTACTTTCTCAAAGTGAAACTACCAATATTTGAACTCATTTAACTACTTAAGCTCCTTGGTTGTTTAATCATGCTAAACGCAAATGTATCAAGCTTTAGTGGAGGTAGAATAGAGAAATTTGCCACAAGACCAAGAAATGTAAATGATTTTTTCTTTTCTTTTCTTTTTTTTTTTTTCTAGAAACAACATTGTAAGAAAGAAGAAGAAAAATCCAACTTACTGAATGGAAGTGCTTGACATCCTCTTCAAAGATGTAAGCTGGAGTCAAATCAGTTCCACCACCAAACCACCATTGCCTAGGTGCTCCGGGAGCATCTGCACAATTGCAAGATGAGTCACAAACTAAACTTAAACCACTTTACTTACGTTAAAAGCGCAAAAAAGACTAATGCAATGCATAATCACAAAGTAGCCAGAACGCAACTGAGGGAAAGCAAGGCAAAGTGAAAAATTTTCATCAAGAAACTCTCTCTTCTGTTTGTGAAGTACAAGTACCAAAGCAAACACTAAACCCAAATATCTATTGCTACTGAATTGTCATTTGCCAACAAGAAGAAACGCATTATTTTCGCTTGATTATTATGCTGATGATAACTCATGTCTAGCTAATGGAAGCTATTTCTAGGAATCAGGAAACACCCCCAAGTTCTAATTAAGTACTATCATTTCACTTAAAAAAACTCGCAGAACTCATTATATAGACCCTCCAGATCATACTGTTGACAAATCAGGATACAGCATGTCCTTAACCTTCTAATTGCCATTTTAGCATGCAAGGTTCAAAAACTTGATAATAGTAATAATTTGGGGATAAATTAAGTACCTTTAGGAGCATCAGTTTCAAAATACCTATAATTAAAATGCAATGTAGGGGCAAAAGGATTCTTCGGATGCAAAACCTGCAAAAGAAAAAAAAAAAAAAAAACCCCAAGTGATAGTAATTATCAGCATTTTCTTCTATCAATGGAATTGAACCAAAATTTTAAAATAAAATTAAAAAAAAAAAAAAACCGAAAAGTGTTTAGTTACCGAGCTGATCCCAGCGGCGAAAAAGGGAACGGGACCGAGCTTCTCATCAGTGGCAGAAGCCTTGGCAGCTCGATAGGCTTCAGGGGGCATAACTCCATAAACAACAGAGATATTAACACCAGCCTTTTCGAAAACGGCACCGTTTTGCAAGACTCTACTAATTCCCCCACCGCCGCCAGGCCTGGTCCAAGCGTCCTCCTTGAACTTCCCGGCTCCGTCGAGAGCCTCCAGTGCACCGCACACGCTTTCCTGCACGTCCATTATCATGCGCTGGAAACGCGACCTGACCGAGCCGTCATCTTGGCCGTCAGTTTCACGAAGGAAAGTGTGGGGGCGCTCGGAGATTATAGTTTCTTTCTGGATGGAAACGGCGGAGGTTGTCATGAGTTTGCGAATTGAGTGATTGGGATAAGGCCTGGTGGGATTGAGGGTAGGGGAAGAGTAGAAGCCAAATAGGGGTTTGTTGGAAAAAGAGTAAGAAAAAAGCGGGAAGAAAGAAAGAGAAGACGAAGAAACAGAGAGAATGGCTGTTGGTAGTGGCATTGCAAAATTTTGGTACCGATGATTTTGCAGAAACGTAGACACAATTGAAGTCTGAGGTTTGGTGTAATGACTTTTAAATATAAAGAGTGTGGAAGAAGGGATGATTTGGAAAGAGTTGAAAGTTGAATGAACGAATGAATGATGTGATAAGGTAAGGGTCGGCCCACGGTGTCAGGAGTTTTGGTTGGTTTAGCCGTTGGTTTTGAGATTTTCTCTGGAGATTACTACTCTTTACTCAAGCCCCCAAAATCACACTTATAGGCTAACTTTTTTTATTATTATTAATTGTTCTAGTTGGCCTATGATTGTGAGGATTTGAGAGCGAAGACTCGAGGAAGGAAGGAAGGTCAAAAAATGAACAACAATCCATTGCTTACCCAAACCACCCAAAAAAAATCCATTGGATGGATTTTGAGGGTTTGGGATTTGGGTCCACGGATTAGTGGTCTAATATTTACTTATAATTGTAAACTTTAAATTGTATAGTTTATAGTTGTATTAATCTAATAATTTTAAATATAATATAAAATAAATATCATTTAAAATTTTAAAAAAATTGTAAGTGTTTAACGAAAACAAAAAAATATATACATTTTATATTTGATATGTGAATTATAACACAATAATTTTTATATTTTATATGAATTAAATATGAAATAAATAAATATAAATATACAAATTATCATATTTAAATTATATAAAACTTTGATTCAATGATTTTATTTTTCTTTTATCTCCCAATATAAAAAGACAAAAATGGAGTACAATATTTAGATCTTTGCTTTAAGAAGCGAGAAAAAATGCACGTATAGATCCAAACGCTTTATGTTCAAATTCTACACGAATTATTTATATATGTAATATTAATAGAGCATTTATTTTTCGATTAAAATAAGAAATGAGTCAATCCTAACAATTTTGGGCAAGTGACCGACCCATAAAAAGAGGAGTTCCTTTTTTCAGCCATAAAGGAAATGAGAGGCTGCAAACTTAGAACACCATTGTGGAGTAGAAATCTTTGTTTTTTTGGCACATAGAAATACATTTTTTTTTTTTTGCAAGGCACATAGAAATCTTCATTTGAGCTCAAAAGGAAAATCAACTTCATCCACCAGACCTTTCGTTTGAATATTATGGGGTTTTGGGTTAAAAGAGAACGTTCTTGAGGGTTAATTTCGGAGCTCCCTGTAATGAAAGATACGTTTTATGACTGGATTGCTTTTTAAGTTGATGACATTCACTATTATGGGGCTTCCTTAAGGTAAAACACAGTACAGTGCTAAAATCACAATATAGAGTAGAACAGTTAAAGTTTGGACTAACTCATGCGCAACAGAAAGAAATATTAAATAGAAGATGATTACTGAACAAAACTTTATGCTATTGCCCTTAATAGTCATCACCTCTAGATATAACTTCTTTGCAGGTTGGCCGCAGTAAGATGGTATGTTCAAACTGAGACACATAGCTGCCCTTAACATCGCACAGAGGAGGATACGGCTGCAAGAATATACAAAAAATGTTGTTAATTAGTCTCACTTGCATTGCAGAAAAAGATCATAAAACCACAACAACAATACATAAGTTTAAGCATATAAAGATTGGTTTTTTAGCACTTTGTGATCAATAGTTTTGTTTCTGTTCCGCAATGGTACAAACCAACTCAACATTGATCTCCAATTTGAACCTACTTTATATAGAATCATGAACCAGCAAAGCACGATATAATTCAAAAACTAATCAGCACACAAGTTAACCTTCAGACCTCAGACCTGCTCATAAAGCAGGTTTAGGAATTTCCAGAAGATCAAAATTATAGTTAAAAAATGATAGAAAGGAATAATCATAGATATCCTCATAGAAAAAAAAAAAAAAAGATAGTGTCTTTTTGGAATAGACACATATAAGAGCATGTGCTACCGGAACCAACATCATATAGTGGACTGATTTGTTTAAGGCAATCTGTCCAAATGTTCACCACAAACCAATGATTATTAGTTTAATTGAAAACAGCAAGAAGGCCAAGTCAACTGTTGCTTGTTTAACACCTCATCCACTCTCATTACAGATTTTAAGTTATTTGTTTTCGTGTCACCAAAAAGTGTCCTTAATTATTCTGAAACACATTGATATCTATATAGGTGGATGCAAATCACTACTACAAAGCAAAATGATAGTAGACACCATATAAATATCCAGTCCGCCTAGCCCAGATTATACCAGAAAGCCTTGGAATCTTGAAATCGAAGTAGGGCAGAAACCTATTCAGAAATTGGATAATGGCCTATCGTGTAGCATGGAAGGCTATCAGAAAGTTTCCAATATGGACATGAAACAAAGTGCAAAACCAAAATTTTGAAAAAGACAATTGAAGACCAATAGCAAGAAGATACCTGAACAATGCCAGCATCACATAAATTCTTTAGTGCCAACAGATATTTGGTCTCTCCCAAGCGATCTAAATACCGCCTACAGAAAGCCAATGTAGAAAAGTTCTTGTTTATTGTGGCTAGCAGCTGCTTAGCTCTAGGCAACCTCAGTGGAATGTGTCCCACATCAAAATTTTTCATATAATGACTGCACCCTAGATCTTCTCTGACATACCCTTTCCCTGTACAATGAACGACTGGTTAGATCAATGTCCATAATACACAAACTACCATCTATTATGCATAGGATTCAGTTCCTTATCAGATGAGAAATTTGACCTGTAGAAGCAAAGGTTTCAATGGCAAAAAATTCACCCTCTTCCATTTTTGTTTGCTCCCCTCCTTTCACAATAGGAACTGATTTTCCAGCATGTATCTGATAGGGCCCAATGCTGTGTCCATTCAAGTTTCGTATACTTTTCACTGCCAAAGACATATTCAAATCCCTAACAAAAAGTTCATAAAAGACATACAAAAGACATGTTGATGTAGAACAAATAACTCAAGAAGATTTCACGAGTGAAAGTCTCACAAAATCCTTAACAATTCAAAATCTCAAAAATACAAGAATCTCAATATCTCAAAATAGATGACAACCAAAAGTTGCCAAAATTATAACAATAAAGTAATTTACACTAAAACCTAAAACCCTAATAGAATGTAATATTTGAAAACAACTCAACATACTAAATAGTGTTTAACTAAACGTTGCTCTCCAAAGAAGAGGAAGGTTCAAAATAAATGCTGTTATTTGCAATTGGGAATCTAAAATGAGAAAAGCTTGTACCGTATCAAAATCATGCCAACCAAATGAAATTAATAGTTGTAGTTAATGTCCACCGTATAGATACTCATTAGGGTTTTTGATGTCATGTAAATGCAAAACCACCAAAATATTATTTTAATTTTACTCAAAAGGTTGTGTATCTAAGGAAACTACAATTACCACAAATTTCATCTTGCAGACATTTGCTTTGATGAGTAACAAATAGATGCCCACTTATTGACATTGACAGTTGTACTTAATGACGAATATTAATTAACCAAAAACTAATTCGGCAGTTGTGATGAAACAAACTCATATTCTATGAACAAGGATAAACTATCTTAATGGTCAATTATCACAAGCACAAGAAGGAAAGATCAGTAGCAGCAATTTTTCCATAATAAATCTTATTTAGATATACATATCTTCTCCTGAATTTCTTACCTTGAAACACCTTCCCATTTATTTCAACCTCATATGATTCCATCACCTCTTGAATTGCAGCACCAACATCACAAAGACGGACATCAATACCAGCTTCCTGAACAATTAAATGAACATCAGAGATATGATCTCTTTAGTAAATATTTCAGTGAAACTAGTGAATCCAATTTTACAGAAAAGAACCTCAATGGTTGTAAGACTCCAAACATATTTCCATGATTACATAAATACATCATAACAAATTCAACAGGAACAAAAGCAGATAATAGTTTAAATGTGGAATCATCAAAAGAATAAGCATAGAACAAGTTTGTTTTGGGCTTGATGGACTCGGAGGGAAGAAAGATTTGTGAGGACAAAAAAAGGCACATTAGAGCTGGCTGTCTTACACTAATACAAGAAAGAGAAGGGAAGCAAGCACTAAGTATAGCAAGAACATCCTTTCATCTACAGTTTAGATTTGCATATTTTTCCGTTCATATTTGAGTGAACGATTTCAGTGCACCTTCAACCTTGTCCTTGCAATTTTAAGTCCCCCTTGGATTTCTTTATAACCATATCAGACAAAAGTGCCCTAGCTTTTTCTTAAGCCTTTTCCTTTCTTACTGGTTTTCTCCTCTCAAACATGCTTAGCTAACAGAAAAAGCATCCAGAACAACACCAAAGTACATTTATATAAAGATTGCATGAAGAAAAATGATTTCAGAGTGCCAAATTTTTTATCGAAAAGAATGACAATGGTAAGTTATTTTCATTTGTAGATATGACCTATCTTACAAGGCAGCAGGATTGCTTAAGATAGCTAGATTTTGGGGAGTCAGGAATTGAATAACCGAGACTTAGAAAAGATAAAGATTTGACAGCCAAAAAATGGCTTAAATTTTCTTTTTATCCATCAACACAACATTAAAAAAATGTTCAAGAATAACCCTACTAAGGGAAACATAGATATACAAGAAAGTCAAAAAACAAGAGCAAAGCCATTCTCTCATGAATATGCATATTTAATGGATCCAATACCTTGATGCCTGTATTGGTTGCTTCACGAGAAGCTTCAAGAAGCGGATCATACATAGGATTAAATGCCACTGTAAAGGCACAATCAACTATATATCCTGCAAATCCAACAACTCATGTTTGCTCAAAAGTAACATGATAACCCAGAATGAAATTATACAGCTATAAAGCAAAAAGAGCAGACCAAGAAAATACAAGATGAAGCAACTATGGCATTACCATCAATATGAGTTCCAAAATCCAACTTCATCACATCATCATACTGAAGCACAGTCTTATCTCCAGAATTGGGAGTCCAGTGAGCAGCAACCCTGACAGGGGAAAGACACAAGTACAGACACAACCAATTACAGGTAAATGTAAAAAGTAGACTCATCACATGTCAAACATAAAGCTAACCAGTTCAAAGAGCATCCAGTAGGAAATGCGATCCCAGCTTGTAAACCATTCTCTGCTATTAGCTTGCGAACTGTGTTCTCCAAGGTCTCACACAGGTCAGTCATTAACATTCCAGGTTTCAAGATGCTTTTGATATATTTTCGAACCTAAGAATGAGTAATAAATGCTAATGATGACCAAAAACCAATAGCAAAAGTCCCAAAGCCAAACTTGCACATATCAAATAATATTTACATCATACCAAGCACCGATTTATGTAGATATAAGACAAAATACAAACCTGACGATGAACTTCAGCTGCTTGGCGGACTGCATTATATTTTGGCTTTTCAAGGCGCTCCAATTCTCTCTTCTCCTCAGAGGTAGTCCTCCACAAATTACTATGAAGCAATAAAAGCAATAAAAGTTCAAGCTTTACACAGACAAATATAAACAGATGCAACCAATAATAGCATGAATCTGGATTGGCAAACATAAACTGAAAATGTAAACAAACTATGTCGCATAAAACAGGGAAATAACTTAACACTATATTAATGTGCTATTTATATTCTAAAGGAAGAAAAAATCTTCTCCATACCTTTCTGCAATCAATCAAGTTATTCCTTACACTCTAATATCGAAACATAGTTTCATCTCGTTTAAAATATACTGTAACATTTTTACTTTCTCAGCTTAAGACAACTTAAAGATTTGCCATTTATATATATATATATGAAACTACAACAAGGAACAATCAACAAAGACAAAAGAAGATATGTTTGACCTCCTAGGAAGTCCTTGTGTTGCAAGCCAACCTTTGTATTTTATTGTAATTTTAAAACAAAAAGGACATGGATTGAAGAGATTGCTTCAGCTTTAGGAATTAAATATAAAGTTTACTCGCTTTAAAAGATAGTTTCAAGAAAATGGAATGACTCACTCATCTTTGTACTGTTGAATTTCACCCTCAGGAAACTCCCTAGAAGGGAAAAGATCAACAACAGGAATAGAAGGAGGATCAGTCTGCTTCAGTGGCTCCTTCTTTTTCCTGTGGGTTACAGAACATAATATCATCAAACTCTCAACCGAACATCTACAATAAGGAAATAACTTACAAAAGCTAGAAACAGGTCCTCACTTGCTTTTATTTTTCTTCTTTTTCTTCTTTGCAACTTCTGCTAGGAAACAGTTTTAAAATGCAGAGAAGTACACATATTAGCAAAAAAAAAAAAAAAGTGCACTCGTATTTTATAGAAGAAAATAGTTAAACCACCTACACAATATAGAATTTATATTAGAAAAGAATCATAATTAAGCTTGCTTAAAACTCAAAACTACAATAAGGAAAATACATTGAAATATGAAGCTCGGAGAGAAGCACTATCATCTTATTGGAAAAATTACATCTTTAAGAAAAAATTAAATGGATCAGGAATTGGAGGTGGGAGAGAGATAGAATCACAATCACAATTTAGGCATCTATCGATATCAGTCATATGATAGATGATTTGTGTCAATCTTACAAAATATAAAATAACTTCTATATGTCTCTTAGGTGAGCCAAATATAGACTACATTTAGAAGAGTAGTTCCTACACCATGAACCCATGTGGCCAACATTTGTCCAAATCCAATCCTCTTTCAAACCTACACTCCCCATCAAAAAAAAAAAAAGTAAAAAGAAGCTTCCCCCACTCTTCTTATCCCACTTATCTGTAGGTTGTAAGAATGATAATGTAAATTGCAGAAATGCTTTGTATTAGATTATGATAAGCTCACAAAAGAGATTATACTGATGATCTGTTAACAAGATGACACATGACAACTAGGAGTTTTGGAAGAATACACAAAAGAATCGCATTCACAAAGAAAATGAGGGTGTCATACTTAATTACCACAAACAAAAAGGATCTTAGGCTTTTAGCACAATTAGAAATGCCAATTGGCACACTAATGTAATTCTCAAAAGTTAAAATACATGATATAAAAGGAGAAAGTTGAACATTAACTATTAAGGGGAGCAAACAAAGTAAAAAGGCAAAAATAACTATCCACCAAGACAAAGAGAAGTAAAAGCATAATTACACGAAATATAAAACAATCCAACACTAGTAGGAAACTTAAAAACTACTTAGAATTCATCCAAAATCACTGTAGTCAAAAGTGATAAGCTCCTTGCAGCAGCTAGGAACCAGAGGTGGCAATAGAGTGTTAGTTAGGTTGGGTTGTTTTGTGTTTGGATCAAATTGATGTTTTAATTTTATATTCATTATCATGTTTGTATCATTCCAGGTTCAATTTTGGTCCCTTCATTTAAATTTAGGTCAACTCAGGTTGGGTTTGGGATGGGTTGTGTCGGTTATCTAGGTTTAGATCAACTTTTGCCAAATTTTTGTAGTGTAAACAAATAATGATCATGTTCAGGTTTGCTATGTTTCTAGTTAGGATGAGATTCAGGCGATTGACTTGTCCTCTAATTTGAAGTCTAATGGACTAGGTTCAAGTCAGTCAAAAATATTCAGAAAGGTTTTGCCACCTCTACAAGGAACCCCATAATGCTTGAAGTTTAAAGCACTCAGCCTAGAATTGTGACACGATAACGTAAATAAATTGTATATAAATATACGGAAAAGGTACTTACACCAGATAAAATTTTAAAAAATGCACTTCTAGGTGTCTTTGGCATCACTGCCAATTTAATTCTTCAAAATTAAATTGTTTTGTTTTCAATTTGTTAAAATTCAAAGCATGTTTGGTTATTACAGATTTGTTGAAAACTTGTAGGGATCTCAACCCTTTAAGATAAGAGGGCAGCATTTACTGAATATGTAAAATACATTAATGATCGAGACAAGCAGAAGTATGCATAAAATAAGTACACCTAAATAATTAGCCAATAACAAGTCAACAAAATCATCACCTGTCTCCTCGTCTTCATCTTTTTGAGTAGATGAAGAATTCTCAGAGACATCATCGTTGCCATTTGAAATCTCTAATTTCTCAATGCCATTCAAAGTCTCTAACTCCTCCTCTCCCACAGGAACTTCATTATTCACGATATCAGTTGCCATCACTGAACGCCCTGTTTGCACAAAACTCATCAACACAAAATCAAGATTGTTCAAGTAGTATAAGGATCAGCCAAATTTCCAATCGAAGCACGATATTCACAATTGAACAACAACCCAATGCTTATAGATCAATAAGCTGTATAAGTCTCCATTCACAGCGTATATATCTCTATTTTTCACAACCAGTAGCCAAAAAAAAAAAAAAAAAAAGGATACCTATGTCACTTGCGCCAGGATATTTCAAGAAATCAGCTCATACTACGAAGCGGGGACAATCGACGCTGTCTTGTATACAGGTGTCGTATCCGCATTGGATATAGAAACCCCGAGATACGTATCCGACACAGTTAGATAAAGTAAAAAAAAAACTTAAAAAAAGAATTCAGACATGGTATTGCACAGGAGATAAAGAATAAAGCCACCATCGAAAAAAAAATTGTAAACCCACTTTTAATTCTATCAATTGAAACAATTTACAGGTTTATTATAACAGAAGAGTAGAAGTTGAAGAAAGAAATCAAACAAAGAAAAGGAATTAGATTATGTAAAGCGATTTAGAGATAACAGGGAGAGATGATTACCGAGTTATTTAGATTGGGAAAAACAAAGCAAAGCCTCTGTAATTAATCCCTTTTTTATTATATAAAGAGAGAGAAGCGGAAGAAAAATCCTCTTCAGCAAATGTAAAACTTAAAAGCGAACAAGAACCAAGGTTAAGTTCCTTACTTGCAGGCTGTTGCGCTTACTTCTGCTCTCCTTGCTTTTGAAGTCAAGTCTTTGTATCTTTTCTTGTGGGTTGGGTCATCAGGCAAAATAATATAGGAAGCCCATTTCTTTTACTTTTCTGGGCCTTTATGTTAGTCAGACCCAATTATATGGAGTAGTCAGCTTCAAAAGGATGCTAAAATATTATCAAATATTTCAATAATATTTTAAATAAAGGATGCTAAAATATTATCACATATTTCATTAATATTTTAAATATATTTTAATGGAATATGTTACAATTCTCTACTTTCATCGATGGAGATTTTAAATTATTTTTACCAGTGAATGAATAATTTTTTATAATGGGAATATTTGGACTCCCTTGTCAATCTCGAGAAACTAGCTAGCACAACATCCCACCGCCATAACTTCATTTAAATCATAAATTCCCAAGTCAAGAACTGAAGCCCATACATGCACTAATGTAGTACATTCCCAAACTCGATCTTGTCACTAGGTCATGACCTGTGTGGCCGGATACATGTACGATACATGATTAAAGATTTTAAGTTATAACATGTATAAGTTCACACTTTATTAATATGATTTGATGAGAAGCATAATGATAATAATTAGTAAGCTCGTACAAAATCAAGGAACAAAGTAAAAAAAAAAAAAAAAGATAGGGAAGAATTGAATTATATAATCCTGTAGACACTTAATTTGGTCCAGGCCCAAATTAATTGGGCCTGGTCTAAATGGGTAGATCCAATTTTATCTTTGTCATTGGTATTTTTATTTTTATTTTATATTTTATATTTTATGTATATCCTATGTATTTATTATTTATTTATTATTACTAATATATATTTTTATTATTTTTTATTTTTGTATTTTATTTATTTTTGTATTTTTATTTATCTAATTATATATCTGATATTATTTTTTTTATTTATCCTATAGTATTTTTTTTATTTATCTTTTCTAATTATCTATTTTTTTTTATTTGATTTTTATTTTGGAGGGCTGTGATTGAAAGTTGAAGAATCCTGCTGTGAGTGGGGATTCAATCAGAAGAGTCCAGATTGGATTTAAAGATTGAATCCTCATCCAAAGAGGAATTGAGATTGATCAGAAACTCCTAATCAATCCTTATATAAAGGACCCTTGGAACAAGATGCAAACACACAGAAAACAGTAAACAAAAGCTATTGATTGAGAGAATAGGGGCGTATAGAGAGCTAAGAAAAGGTTTAGGAGTGTTCTGGGAGTGAGGAGAAATTTTTTGAAGTTTTTTTGGCGATTTTTTTCTGAGAATTTTTGGAAATTCCAGATTTCGATGAATTTTTCGACGAAGTTTGAATTTTTCGGTGAAAATTTCTGCCAAACTTGAAGTTTTCGACGACCTGCCCAGTTTCCGACGAAGAATCCCAGAAACCGGTGATCTTTCGGCCAACTTCCGGTGAACTTCCGATGAAATTTTCTAGATTTCGACGTAATTTTCCAGAATTCGAACGTTCCACCAGAGTTCTTCAGCTTTTAGAGAGAAGAGAAAGAAAAAGGGAAGAAGAGAGAGAGGGGAGAAGGGTTCTACCGAAAAACAGAGGGAAGTACCTTTTATACCCTCTCAAAACGACGTCGTTTTGGCCTTAAGTGACCCAGAGGATCCGCGCGTTTTGCCGTGACCCAACCCGACCCGAGCGTCGACCCGCTTCCTGACCCGCGCATGCTTGCCCCCCTCCGAGCCGAGCCGAGCTTCCCAAGCCGCCCTTCAAGCCGTTTTTCTTCCTTGAGCCGAGCCGCTATCCGAGCTGCTCCAGATTTTTTTTTTTTTTGAATTTTTTTTATTTTCATTTATTTGTTTATTTGTTTTTTTTTTTATTTATTAGATTAGGTTTATTTAATATTCTTTTTATCTTAATTTTATTTTTATTTTTGTTTTACTTTTCTTTATTTTTTTATTTTTATTTATTTTTTTTATTATTCTATTTTCTTTAAATAAAAATCAAAATTTCCAAAAAAAATATTTTTAGGGAAAAGTTGAAAGTATCAATTTTTCTTAAAAATAAATTTCAAAAAAAGGGTTTTTGAAGAAAAGTTGAAAGTATCAATTTTCCTTAAAAATAAATTTTCAAAAAATATTTTTTGGGAAAAGTTGAAAGTATCAATTTTCCTTAAAAATAAATTTCCAAAAAATATTTTTAGGGAAAAGTTGAAAGTATCAATTTTCCTTGGAAATCAAAGTTTCAAAAACAATATTTTTGAGGAAAAGTTGAAAGTATCAATTTTCCTTAAAAATAAATTTCTAAAAAATATTTTTGGGAAAAAGTTGAAAGTATCAATTTTCTCCACACAAGAACAATCATTCTCTCCTTCCTTTCTATTTTGATTTTGATTTTGATTTTTCTTTAACCAATCCGACGACGGAGCCTCTGTAAGTGAAACAGTAATTTTTCTTGCATACTCTTGATGTGAGAGAATTTTTTTAATTTTTTGCTAAAAGTATTAGAATCAATTGAGGATAATTTTCAACAATTAATTACTTGGTAAAATTTTAAGGCTTTTGGATAACACAAATTTAAGCTGGTACCATCTTTTGATGGGCGTTGTGAGGGTGCTAAAACCTTCCTCACATGTAACCGAACTCCCGAACCCTGTTCTAGTTTGTAGACTTGAACCTATTCTTTTAGGGACCCTTAAGCTTAGGTGTTCCCTGAAAGGACAGACTCTTAAGGTGATCAATCGTACCTTGATAAAAAAGATTGGTGACGACTCCCTTTAAGTTAATGTCTAGCCATAGATCCCCGGATCTAGACGTTATGACAGCTTGGCGACTCCACTGGGGACTTTGAGAGTCAGGCCAGCAAATAATTTGTGTTATCCAAAAGCCAAATGAAATTAAACCTTGTTGTATATATGTGTTGTTATTCATTCATGTTTTATTTACTTTGTTAATTATGTCATTCATGTGCATGTGCATAACATGAGCTCTATACCCGAGCTCCGTCCCTCTGGGAGGGAGTAAAGTACCTATTGCTTTCGTGAGGTCTAATGCCTCCGCAGTGGCTAGCGAAATACTCCCACTCAAATTGAACCTTTTTCGCTTGTAGCCTATAATGGGTGAGGATTATGGTACTTTACTAGTCTGTGATGGACAGGGATGTAAGGAGCAATTTAAGGACCTTTAGACTCTGACCTTAAAATCGTATATAGTAAACCTTAAGAGTGCCTAAACCTAGGATAGAGCCCTTTCTACCCAATGATAGATATCCCTCAAAATTAAGACACAAAATGGTGTTTATCTAATCATTTTGATTGTTTAACTTTGTGTATCATTTTCATATGCAACATTATGCATCAGCATCACTTCCATTTCAGTCATGGGACTAACTATGTTGTTTGTCTGATTGTATGCATCTACATTATTTTCATGATCATGTTTTAACACAATCATTTACATTCATTTCATACTAGATTTCATTCAAAAAAATATACATTTCATTTATGTATCAAAGCATCATACATAAGGTACAGCATAACATTTTTAATCATAAGCATGGTACTCAAGGTCCCAGGATAGCTCCATCTAGCGAAAATCCTGTTCATCCATACAACACAAGATCTAGAGCAAGGCAAATGGAGGAGGAAAGTTCCCATAGATTTGAAAAACTAGAAAAAGCACAAGAAAAGATTGAAAGTGAGCTAAGCAAGATTCTGGAGGCTCTTAATAACATGAATAAAGGAAAAAGAGTTGAAGGAAGTACAAGCCAGCAAATTCCCCCATTATAAGAAGTGGCTGACCTTCTGTACCCTCTAGGTTTTAGCCCACCTCAAGCCTAGTCTGTTCAAGAGGTCCCGCCACAACACTTCGCATATCCAACATATCTTAGAATGCCATCAGCTTTCAATCCGAGGCAGTATAATAGCTATATAAATCATGTTTTCACTGAAAAAGTAGTAGAACCAATTCTTGATTTAGATGATTTAAAAAAGAAAGAGAAGGAAAAGATGAGAGTGGAAGTTCAGGAAAGCTCCAAGATTAGTATGCTAGAGCAAAGGCTACGGGCTGTGGAAGGATTTAGCTTTTATGGGTCAGTAGATGCTGCTGGGCTCTGTCTAGTCCCTGATGTGGTTATTCCCTATAAGTTCAAAGTATCAAAATTTGAAAAATATGATGGTACCAAGTGCCCCAAAACCCACATCACCATGTATTACAGGAAGATGGCAGCTCACGCTCATGATGAAAAACTCTTGATGCATGTTTTTCAAGATAGTTTTACTGGCTCTGCTGCCAGGTGGTATGTTCAGCTGATAGAACCCGTATTCGCTCTTGGAGTGATATGGCACATGACTTCATCGGTCAGTATCGACATATTATCGATTTGGCTCCTGATCGTTTATCTTTACAGAATCTGAAGAAAAAGACAAATGAGTCTTTTAAAGAGTATACCCAGAGGTGGAGAGATGTTGCTTCTCAAGTACAACCTCCTTTGACTGAGAAAGAAACTACAGTGTTATTTGTTAGCACTTTGAAGTCTCCCTATTATGAAAAGATGATAGGAAATGTAACAAAAAATTTCACTGACATGGTAATCTCTGGAGAAATTATTGAAAGTGCCATAAAAAATGGTAAGTTAAAAGGAGGAGAAACCAAGAAGACATCAGAAAAGAAAGAAGTTGAAGCTCAAGCTGTGAGTTTTGATAGACAACAATTCAGGGGTTATCAACCCTATCCATCCCAAGGTTACTCTCTATACTATCCTGCTGTGAATAATGCCTCATCCTACCCATACCAGCTAGCTCCACAACCACCTTATTCATCCACACACCAATCAATTTTTAGCCCCCAAGATCTTACATACAGCCTTAACATTCAAGCTCCTACAAGAACCCAAATTCGCTCTATTAACCCAGTAAGTGGTTCATGAGAACAACGAACTACTCGAAAAAAAACTTGTATTTGATCCAATCCCTATGACTTATACAGAGTTATATCGAGAACTCTATAATAG